CCCATCCATCCTGAGGGTCCCAGTGCATCCCATCCATCCTGAGGGTCCCAGTGCATCCCATCATCCCGGGGGTCCCAGTGCATCCCATCATCCCGGCGGTCCCAGTGCATCCCATCATCCCGGCGGTCCCAGTGCATCCCATCATCCCGGCGGTCCCAGTGCATCCCATCCATCCTGAGGGTCCCAGTGCATCCCATCCATCCTGAGGGTCCCAGTGCATCCCATCATCCCGGGGGTCCCAGTGCATCCCATCATCCCGGGGGTCCCAGTGCATCCCATCATCCCGGGGGTCCCAGTGCATCCCATCATCACGGGGGTCCCAGTGCATCCCATCCATCCTGAGGGTCCCAGTGCATCCCGTCCATCCCGGGGCTCCAAGTGCATCCCATCCATCCCAGTGTGCCACTGGACCACCACATCCTGTGTGCATCCCACCCATCCCGGTGATCCCAGTGCATCCCAGGTACCTCATGTGCGTCCCACCCACCCCAGGGTCCCACTGCATTCCATCCGTCCCAGTGTCCCACTGCACCACGGGTACCTGGTGTGCATCCCACCCATCCCAGTGTCCCACTGCATCCCATCCATCCCAGTGTGCCACTGCACCCCAAGCACCTCATGCGTTCTGTGTGTCCCATGTGTCCTGTGCTCCCTGCCCATCCCTGATGCCTCACTGCATCCCAGCTACCTTGTGCATCCCATGCATGTCCCAGGCATACTGTACACCGTGTTCATCCCGTGTGCCCCATTGCATCGCCTGTGTAAGGCTGGCACATGAGCTCTGATAAGGTGCCATGGAGGATGACCCCTCTTCCCATCTCCAAAGGAGGCTGGACAAGCTGGATCCCACCTCATTTCTCCAGGAGCAAAGCCCAGGCTGAGGGAAAAGAATTGGGATGAACCTGGAGGGGGGGAAACAATTTGTGCCAGGGGGTATCAGGGGCTTGGATGTGGCTGGAGCCCCCTTAGGAGGGAGGCAGGAGCAGCCCAACTGCCCTTCCCCATCCCCTAGAGCATCCTTTACCTCCAGCAGGATGCAGGGAGGCACCAGGCAGGCGAGAGCATCCCTCTTGTACAGACACAAGTGTCAAGGGGTACAGGGAGGGGGCTGGCTCCTGCAATTTAGCAGGTATTATTTGGCAGCTATAAACAGAGCCTCTCGCACAGCCGGGGAGAGATAAAGGTTGCAGTGCAGATACAGATTAGGTGGCTCCCTTGAGGCTGTGACACCTTGAGATAGAAGCAGCTCTTCTTCAAGGGAACAGCTTGCTGGCAGCCTGGAAAACCTGGAGCTGAGCAGCCTCCAGCAGCACCTCACCTTTTGCTTTGCACCCATAGGATTGGGATGTGGGGTGCTGGGACAGGATGGGGACCCCGGGGGTGCTGGGAGCACCACGAGGGGCTCAGCATTGCACTGAAAGGGGGTAATGCAAAAAAAATGGGCAAGAAATGGGTGTTTGCAGCACATGTGTGTGCCCAGGAGAGACCAAAGGGAATGGAAGCAGTGATAGAGAGACCCAGGATGACTGTGCCCATCGGTGATGCCCATGGCAGTGATGACATGGATCTGTTGGCGTCTCAATGAGAGCAGCAGTGATTTAATCCCCATGGTTTGGTTTAGTGAGCTCTGAGCATCCAGAGCTTGGTGCCCTGGTAACCTTTATCCTGCTCTGCAGCCATGAGCATCACCTTGGCTCTGCTGAGGACCAGACTGAGCTGCAGGATGCTGCCAAGGACCCCTAAGTGATGCAGTGATGGAGGGATCAGGATGCATGCCCATGTGCAGTGAGTGGGACCCATCCCCATGTCCCACTGCCAGCCCCAGTCTTTAAACCAGGCTCATTTAAGCCATGTCCGTCCACCGCCCCCCCCCCCCCCCGGAAGTCTGGTTTGGGGGCTGGAATCAGATGGGGGTCTCGGGACCCCCTGCCCTGGTTTGGGGGCTGGAGGTGAATGGGGAACCCCCATCCCTTCACCTTCCCTCTTCCGGACCCCCATCCCCGTCCCTTAACCCCCACCCCACACTCCTGCCCCACAGCTCCCAGCCCTGATCCCCAAACTGCCCCCCCCCCGCCCCAGCTCCACTTGCCCCCTCCCACCCTGGAGTGACTCCCCCGTTCCCCCAGGTGGAACTTTCCTCTCAGGGTGTGAGACCATAGAGGCGAAAGGCAATACCAAAAGCGAGCTCTCCCGGGGAGGGCAGAAAAGACAAACTCCTTTCCTCCAAAGCCGCCTGGAAAGATATTCAGCTGTGTCCCCCCCAGAATTAGACGCGTGTTTTAAAGATGTTGTGGCTTTGAGTGGTGAAATTCCCCCTGGAATTTATCCCAAAGCCGCCCGAGGCTCCCCCCGCCTACCTTCCCTAATGGTACATTCCTCCCTGTTTACTCTCTTTGCGCGGCTGCCTTGGGTGGGGTTTTTCCGCTGCTCCGGTTTCGTACGCAAGTAGCGTAGGGCGGCTTTGATGGACAGCCACTGTAGCCAATGGTGTGACAGCATCCTTGGCCAGCTGGCCAATGGCCCGGCGGCCCTGCGGCCGGGCGGAGGCGGGGCCAGGCTCAGGCAGGGCAGGGAGGGGGAGCTGTGGAATGGCGGACGGCCGGGCTGGCCCGCCCTGGTGGTAACGAGTCGAGCGGGCCGAAGGGGACAAGCCGCGGCGAGGGGTGAGTGTGAGCGGGGCCCCCCCCGGGCCTCCCAGCCCTCCTGTTATTGCTGGGAGGTAGGTGGAGGTGCTGGAGGGGCCGCTAGGCCCTTGCCAAATAGTGAGTGCTGCGATAAGCCTGGCGGTGTTTCCTGCCACATAGGGAGCCACGGAGGTGCTGCACCCAGTGCTCCGGTGTGGGGCGGGCCGGGCCCCGGCCTGGGGCCTGGAGCAAGGGCACGGCCTCAGCCGCGGGTTGACACCGGCCCGGCCCCTTCCGGAGCCATGGCTCAGGGCTCCTGAGGGGAGCAGAGCCCGCTGCTGGGGTCATGGCTTGGGGGAGCTGGGGAGAAAGAGGGGTGCTGGGAAACGGGGGTCCCTCCCTGCCTTTGCTGTGTGGTGGGTTTGGTATCAGTGTGTGAGCACAGGCTCATGGCAGTGCCTTCTCCCTCCTCGCTTCCTGCCCTGCACCCTTCACTCTGTCTGGGTGCTCTAAGGAGTTGTGGAAGCCCCTTGGCTATCAACTAAACCCCACAACTACTTGGGGTAAGGCTGTGTGGGATGCTCCGGAAAGCCTTTTTCTCATTAAATCCCTAGGCACTCTGAAAAGAAGCTTTGGAGGGTGTAACGGGATAGGGTTGGGTGGTTTAGTCAAATTCACTGAGCTCCTGGTGTGCTCAGACCATAGAGTCATGGAGTGGTTTGGGTTGGAAGGGACCTGAAATATCACCTAGCTCCAAGCCCCTGCCACAGCATATGTAACAAGAAATAAGTTGTTAAGGAAAATAAGTTGTTAAGGAATGTTCCTGGGGTTGCACCTCATCAGTGATTAGGTTTGTGTTGGGGTTACTCCTTTGAGATACAAATAGCTGATGTCCTATGGAGAAAGGTAAGGGGTTGCAGCTTCTCCCTGTTAGCTGTTATTTGACCTTAAGGACCTTCCTGTTGGAGACGTATTCTTTTCCTGACACAGGTTTCCCATTTGGCATCACTGGTTTACTTCCGTGTGTAGCAACAACAGAATTGGGCGCTTCTGCCTAGATCAGATCAGATGGTGGTGGACATGAGATGATGTTAATGATGGAGTACACTGTGGCACACAGTGCTCCCATAACTGGTGGAACACTGCAGCCCTCACTCGTGTGTCCTTCCCCATGGCTTCTGAGCTGGAAAAGTTGAAAGTGGAAGATGTGAGAAGCCAGCACCATGTGTATGTGCTTCCCTGTGACAGAGCTGGTGTTGCTTTATGGGAAGTACCCGAGCCTCGAAGCTTGGTCACGCGCGGAAGGGGAATAGTTCTGCTTCCCACCATCTGCAGATTGCAGCACTGTGCGTTCTGATGTGCCCCTTAGTGACCTTGAGTGGGGTTTTGTCATAGGAACCCATACAGAGTTGAACCCAAAATTCAGTTATAACCAACCCAAACCTAAAATCTCCCCATTGATACCACCAGCAGTGTGCTGATAGAGTGCCTTTGGAAACCCACGGCGTTGAGAGCCAAGGACAAGCTTTTTCCAGGAGGCTGGGGAGGAGCAGGCCTCTGCTTGCATCTTCATTTAAGAATTCTGCTTGAAAACACCAAGTTTGAATGGGAGAACTTGACACAAGCTTTAAAGCTCCACTTAATGCTGATCTTCGCTCAAGCAGTGGTTGTCACTATTGTCCCTAGGCGGGTCGGGGATCAAACCATGGGCCTCTACCTTCCAAAGCATGTCTTTCTGTTTGGTTAAAAGCAGCCTTCTGTGTTGGGTGAGGAGCAGTTTTACCAGCTCTGGGTAGCCCAGCTGAAGGTGAAGCCTTGCTGGGAAGATCCACCCTTTCCAAGCTGGCTGCTCAGGCTTTTCCAATCCCTACAAAGTATCGGTGGTGTAAGCAGTGATGCCACTGCCTGAGCTTGGGCTCTGAGCTCTGGGCTCACTCCCAGTTCCTCACTTGAGCTTCTCTCTGGTCTGCACTCCTAAACCTTTCAAGCTCTGGTTTTACAAAGCTCTGTAGCTAGGAGGATGCTGGTTTAGAGAATCCTAGAATGGTTTGGGTTGAAAGGGATCTTAAAGCTCATCCAGGTCCATGGACAGGGACACCTTCCACTGGAGCAGCTTGCTCCAAGCCCCGTCCAACCTGGCCTTGAGCACTGCCATGAATGGAGCATCCAGACCTTCTCTGGGCACCCTGTGCCAGCACCTCAGCACCCTCTTCTGCCTAAGAGCTCATCTCAGTTTCCGGCAGGTTAAAGCCATTCTGCCTTGTCCTGTTCCTACATCCCTTCTCCAGAGCCCCTCTCCAGGTTTCTTGTAGCCTCTTTAGGCACTGGGAGACTGTTACAAGCTCTCCCCTTGTTGTACAAGTTCTGTTTTAGTTGTGGAGTGGCTTAGTGAAGAAGAGGCGGGAACTGTAGCCCTAATGTCTTTAGAGTTATCACTCTGGGGTTTGGAGTAATGAGTTAATAGTAAAGTGCTCCTAAGCAAAGGATAAAACTGGTTTCCCGATGAATAACGTGACACGCTAAACAGAAACGGGTATTTTTAAGTTCCAGCTCAGAAGGTATTTGTGAGCAGTGATTCATTAAAAAGAATACCACGTTTCTGGGAACGACCAACCCAGTTTCTCAGCATACTTTGAATACATCTCATTCTTCAGGGCTGGTCTAGGAAAAGTTGATTTCATTCACAAAGGTTAGATAATCATGCAGTGTGGGTGGAGGGGTTAAAACTTCAGCGATTGCCTCATCTGCAATAGAGTTACAGCAGCAAATCCACCTCCTGGCTTGTGTGTTTCAATCTTTTCTGGTGCTGGAAGAACAAAGAAGGTTCTGAGGATTAACGTTTCCCCCAAATCAGGTTTGTTTCCTTTGACAGACTCTAATAAGGAAGATTTCAACAAATGGAAGGCTCAGGTTTAATCCTTCTAGATAGTTTCTGTGGTCTCAGATCTTTAATGTAAGGTTTCTGGTTTGCCTCTGTGAGGTTTGATGATCATACTTAGCCTTTGGTCATTCAGCTGAGCAAAATACATTGCTGTGTGCACTGCATGAGGCGATCCCAAAGCAGGCAAAGGATTGTGTTTGCATGCGTTGGGGCTAAAGTTCCTGCTGTCCCTGCCCACAATGGAACAGCAGCAAAGACACACACTGCCAAAAGCTGCTTCTAAGGGTGAAAGCAGCTCCTTTCTACAGTAACACTGTGCTAAATGTGCAGGAAGCAAAGCAAAAGGGACACTTTCACCTTGTGGAAAGCAAAATGCAGCTCTTTTCCAGCCTGTCTTATGGTGCATTACTGTTTGCAGCAGTGCTCTGGCTTCTAATGGGAGCTGTGGTAAGAAATGGTGTGTTTTGAGTGTTTATTGTCGCTGTGGAAGGGTCAGTATTAGTAAGATTGGGCCCTTACTTACCACAGATGAACGTGTATTGAAATCTGGGAGGTATTTATAAAGAGTGGATGTAAAACAAGGCGTGTGGAAGTGGCTTCTGGGTAATAAGCAAATGAATGCTCAGAACAGAACCACCCCGGTGACATTCACTTCCTTTGGCTTTTTGCAACTCTGTGTAACAAAATGCTCTCTTTTTGAGGAGGGCAGGGACCAGTGCTGCCCATTGCACTCAGAGGGGGTGTTTGCTAAGGGAGCTTCTACAGGAGGTGATCATATTCAGCCCAGTGCGGCACGTTAATCACATTCTCCAGCCCCAGCTCGCCCTCGCTGCAGTAATGGGCTGGGAAATAGTTCCTCTGGATCCTCCCTTAATTCCTGGGATCACAAGAAAGCTTTCCTGGTATTAGGTTGCTACTGGAGAAGTGGTAGAGTGAAGCCTTATCTCAAGTATGCATCTGGCAGGGGCTTTGAGGAGGGAAAATTTAAAGGAGCAGCAATCTCAATTAGTCTCTCCCAGCTGGGCTCAGTGGTGACTTGTTCCATTCCCCCAATGCCTTCTGCACCATCTCGTCTTCTAGAGCAGTATCCCGGACCTGTTTTGGGGTGAAGTGGTGCTTTAAAGGATGCTGTGATGCCGAGAGAAGAAGGGGAGTTGGGGGGGGAGAGATGCCTCTGATGCATCAGCATTGAGCACTGCTTCTCAAGGGCTTACATTTCTGCATGGGAGGCTCTTGCTGTGCCACCACTGCAGAGGAGCTGCTCTGAGCTCACTGGTGACTTGGAGGTTGTGCTTCTCCTGTGTTACTGTTGGAAGCAGTGAGCAGTCTGGGGCAGACAAGACACAAAGAGCTGTCTGCTCCAAATGGTCTGGTCTTGCTGCCATCAATCAAACCTAAACCCTGAGTTTCTTACTTTGGTTTCTGCTGCAAATACTCAGTAAGTATTGAGAAGATCTCATGTGTTGTGTGATTCAGGCAGATAACCTTCTCAAGAGGGCCTTGTTTAATATCAGTGGTGATGCATTTATTTGAGCAACTCCTTTATGAAGCAAAGACACTCATAGATTTGAAATGAAAATCTTCTAATTGTAAAGTGAGGGGTATAAAAGGTGTTTTCACCTTGTGTATGATAAATGGGGGACTTGCTGCCCTGGGATTTTATGGATGAAACTCCTTTAGGGAAGTGAAATCCAGAAAGGACAATGCTGGAGAGGGACTCTTCCTCAGGGACTGTAGCCGTAGGACAAGGGATGATGGGTTCAAACTGAAACGGGAAGTTCAGGTTAGATATGAGGAAGTTCTTTACTATGAGGGTGATGGGACACTGGCACAGGGTGCCCAGAGAAGTTCTGGCTGCCCCATCTCTGGCAATGTTTTGGTGACCCTAGGCCATGTCACCCAAGGGTGGACAGAGCCTTGGGTCACATGATCTCCGGTGAGGTGTCCCTGCCCATGGCAGGGGGTTGGAAATGGATGATCCTAAGGTCCTTTCCGACCCTAACTCTTCTATGGTTATGCTTGTTTCCATGTGGTCTTCAGGTGCAGTGGGATGCTGCAATGTGGAAAAGGACAGCAGGGAGAACTGTTGCTCTGTGCTTACCTTGTTCTCATGCTCTTTCTGCATTGCTGCCTGGGTGCTAATGCATGGAAGCTGCTGGTTTATCTGGAGGCTGGATGACCCAGCATGGTTACTCTGAAGTCCTGTGGCATGGGGTTTCTTGTCTGGTTCATGTGCTGATGTTTCTGATGGTGCTCCAGAGCATCTTGTGAGTCTCCCTTTCTCCCCACTCATAAAACTGGGCTAATGACTCTGACCTTTTGTTTGTAAAGCAAAAGGAAAAGGATTAGCAAAATACTGCAGCTTATTTACTATCATTACTGGAATGATGAGCAATGCCACTCTGTGGTACTTCAAAGCACCTTCACATATAAGATGCTGGAAATCCCTTGAGAGGGAAAATGTTTCAGATGGAAAAGGAGGAGGGGGAACATTCCTCTGGTTCTCATCTAAGTGTAGTGTCCTGCAAGGCACAGAGGTGCTATCTCCAGCCATCTGCCCTCCTGGCTGGGGTATTTAAAGCAATCCTTGCTTTTCCCATGACAGTCAAAGGCTGGTGTCACTGATCACACTTGTGCAGAAGCTGTTCCCATGCAAAGTACTTTCTTGACCTATTGTATTACCATTAATAAGCTTCAGTGTGGTTTTAATTTCTCATTTCCTCTTTCACTGGATGCCTTTTTCCTCCTTCTTAAGAGTCTGTCTTCAAGTTGCTCTATAGGAAAAGTCTCTTTCTGCTGCTCCAGGATTGAGTGATGCTTTGCTTTCAGGTGGCTCCGTGCTGGGGGGCTTGAAGGGGCATTCAGAGGAGTCCATCACCCACAATATCTGATGGATTGGTGTAGCTGCAGTTCATGCATGGATGGGATTTAATTGGGAGGGAGGGGGATCCGCAGCCCTGCCTGAATGGATGGGTGAAAGCTCCCCAACCATTCCTGAGCCCCACAGAGCTGGCTCAGTGCTTGCCAGAGTGGAAGTGAGTTCCCTTTCAGGCACCCTGCTTTTGTGCACATCAGAAAAAGCACAGACTCTCATGGCTTTGGCCTTGCAGCTGCAGAAAGCAACACCCAGCCCAACAAAACAGGCAAGAGAGAGCCGTGCACACACCCAGATCCTGTTCTTTCAATGCCAGCAGCTGCTCAGCCCATCCTTTGCTGGAGGAAGGCATGGAGCTATAAACACAGCTTGTGTCAAACCTTTACCTTCTGGCTAGGGCAGCATGGGATAACTGGCAGTTTCCCTTTGGGAGGCTAAATTAAACCCCTGTGTAATTAACTTACACAAAATAGCCTTTTGGTTGAATATGGTGTTACGGAGGTTACATCTAGGGGCTGGCTTCACATGAGAGGGTTTCATAAAGCAGCTTATTCTAGACCTCGTGGTGAACTTTAATAGAAAGACCTGTGTCTTTAGCATCCCTAATACAGTCTAATCCCTCTTCTCCCAAAAAGTTGGGTTCAATAAAGTGGTTGTTTCAAACACTTGAGCATAGTTCTGGATAGGCCAAACTCCAGAGCCTGGAGTTTGCACTGGGTATGACATAAGGTGAGATCACTGCTGGGCTTGAAACATGCAAAATGGTTAAAAAGCCTCTTTTCCTGCCTGTCCCAAGGAGATTCCACAGGCATCTGTCACCACGTCCAAGCTGGAATCTGGCTCTGCTCTGGCAGACCAGGGAGGCTTTGCTGAAGTCTTTGCCTAGAAGGTTGTGTCCTGCTGGCTGCATGGATGGAGAAAGTGAGGCCAAGGCCTGTCATGCTGTTGAGCAAAAGCAGGAGACTGCTCATTGCAGCTCCCTGCAGCTCTGCCTGCAAATCCCAACTGGATCATGCACCATGCTCTGCACAGGTAGCTTGTGTGTGCACTCAAACCAGAGTGGGTGTTGCTGGGGGCACCTTAAGGAAGAGCTGGGTAATCCCAGCCAGGGGCAGGGCCATCCTCTGCTTCCTCTTCCCACCCTTGGCCAAGCCAAGCCATAGGAGTGGGGAATAACTGCCTGGAAAACCCCAGCTGCCTGTGGCTTTTGGTGCTGGGGGCCTGCCTGTTCTCCCAGCTGCATGGTAATACCCATCTCACTTGAGTCCTGTGATCCAGAAGCCATATCCAGGATCTTATATATGTGTGTGTGTGTGTGTGTGTGTGTGTGTGTGTGTAGATATATATATGTATATATTCAGGATCTTTTATATATATATATACATATACATATATATATGTTCTTTTCCCCCTCCCCAATAGAAACCCCTTATTTTTTATTTTGACTTTATAAAGACCCTGTTCATAAACAGTTTTAATTCAGATGTTCAAGGCCATTCTCTTGGAATTTTTTTTTTTTTTTACAAATCCCAACATATAAAACACTTCTGGAAGATCTCAGGGACTCGGTGTCACTTCTTTTTTTCTACTCCTCATGTCAAAGGTTAACTTAAAATATTAATGCTGCAAAGATTCATTTGAAGATATGAAAAGCGTTCGGGCAAGACTACATGTACATATTGTAATTACTTCCTTTTTCTTACAATTAAAGTAATTGGATTATATTTAATGAGCTATTTACATTTAATAATTAAGGCAAGACTTATCTTTCCAGTATTCCCCAAGTGCAGCAGAAGGGTGGGGGCACTCAGAGCTGTGATATAATTATCCAGGCGTGAGTTGAAACTGAAAGAGCAGTTGAGCTGTATAGAAAACACTTGGAACTGGTTTGTTCCTACTCTTTTCATTAATCAAAATAGTTCAATGTGTGTTTAAGGAGGGGAGGCTGAGCCGAGCTGCAAATGAGACAGAGTTTATCTGCTCAAAAGGAAGGTTAAAATCTGTTCAGGCTTCAGGAATAAGTCATTGAGAAAGAAACCTCCCCCCCCCCTTGCTTTCGTATTAATTACCCAGCTCTGCCCTAGAATGGCAATGTGCT